TGTTTCTCTGACTTTTTTCTCAGCCCTTTTATCATTTGTGTATAGGAGGGCTACTGATTTATTTGAGTTGATCTTGTATCCTGCCACTTTACTGAAGGAGTTTATCAGCTGTAGGAGAAAATTTCTTAATAATAAAAAAGAAAATATCATCCTGAATGAGGTAACCAAGACCCAGAAAGACAAACATGGTATATGTACTCACTCATATGTGGATCTTAGATGTAAAGCAAAGAATTACTAGGCTTACAATCCACAGCCCCAAAGAAGCTAGGTAACAAGGATGACCCTAAGAGAGATTCATGGATTTCCCTAGGTAGAGGAAATAGATGAGAGCTCCTGGGTAAACTGGGAGTGGGTGGTAGTGAAGGAGGGGAGGGGATGGGGGAATGGGAACATGAGGAATCAGGTTGGTCAAGTTGGAGCTGGGACAGAGCGGGAGAGTAGTGAATGAAATATCTTGACAGAGTGAGCCATTTGGGGGTTGGGAGAAACCTGGTGCCAGGGAAACTCACATGAATCCACAAGGATGACCCCATCTAAGACTCCTAGCAATAGTGGAGTTGTCATCAGAGAGGCTTCATTGAGTAACTGATAGAAGCAGATGCAGAGATCCATAGTCAAGCCCTGGGCAGCAATCCCAGAGTCCAGCTGAAGAGAGGGAGGAGTGATGGTTGATATTTTCTTTAATTTTGCCAAATACAAATTGACTAGATATTGTAACTGTAATTCTTGCTAGACAACTGTTTTGTTATATGTAATTTTACTATGTTGAAGTTAAAACATTCCTTTTAAATAGAAAGAAAAAGGAAAATGATGGGTGATGTTGCTCTGTATGCTGTGAATGTGTTCTTCTGATTGGTTGATAAATAAAATGCTGATTGGCCAGTAGCCAGGTGGGATGAGCAGAGAGGAGAATTCTGGGAAGACGAAACCTGAGTCAGGAGACACCAGTCCGCTGTCTAGAGAGCAACACGTAACAGCACACAGGTAAAGCCATGGAACACATGGCAACATATAGACTAACAGAAATGGGCTGAGTTTAGTTGTAAGAGCTAGTCATTAGTAGGCCTTAGCTAATGGCTCAGCAGTTATAATTAATATAAGCCTCTGTGAGTTTATTTGGGGGACACGAGTGGGAGAGATTTGTCCCAATAGCCGGCAGGCCGGGACACAGGAAAACTTTAGCTACAGAAAAGGGATTGCATGAGGAAGTGAGGTCAAGGTCATGTCAGAACAACCCTCAGAGACAGCTGGCCTGAGCTAGTGGGAGCTGGACCGACAGCTAGGGAGCTTGCATGGGGCCAACCTAGGCCTTCTGCATGTGGGTGACAGTTGTGTAGCTTGGTCCGTTTGTAAGGCCCCAGCGGTGGGATCAGGACCTGTCCCTGGTGCATGAGCTGGCTTTCTGGAACCTATTACTAACTCTGGGTTGGCTCACCCAGCCTTGATGCAGCGGGGAGGAGCTTGGTCCTTCCTCAACTTGATATGCCATGCTTTGTTGCCTCCAGTGGGAGGTCTGCCCTTTTCTGAATGGAAGAGGAGTGGATGGGGGGATAGACAGGAGGTGGGGGATGGAACAGAAGAGAAGCGGGTGGGGAACTGGTTGGTATGCAAAATAAATGAAAAAATTTAATTAAAAAAACTTCAAAAAAAAAGAAGTTGCTTCTGGAATTATGAGTGGGTACTGGGAAATGCATGGATTGGACATTCCCTTCCAATGCTTGCTGGCTGCAGAGGGTAAGGCGCTGCAGGACTTTGTGAGAGAATAAAATGCTAAGCCCATCCTTCCAACTGACTGCTGTGGGTGCACCACAATAGGCTCTGAATTTGGGATTCAGCACTATCAAATAGAGAAAAACGGAACCAACAAACTGGTCAAGACACTTGGTTTGAGTAGAGGAGGAAGTCATCAGGTGGCTGGAGACAACTTCGGCATCCCCCCCTCCCTGCACCCTCCCCCACAAAGCCCCACTGTGGCCCCTTTTGCTTTCCTGAAATTGAAGGCGTCTAAGCTGTTTCCCCAGCACCTGCTGTTGAGCTATTCTCTCTGAGCTGAAACACTGACTCCTGGCAGGAGGGAAGCCCCTAAATAAAGCCTCCAAGATGCACGGCGCTCCTGCAATGAGTCACAGGGTTCAGCCATGGTTCCAGAAGCAGGAACAATTGTCCAGGAAGAGGAGGCTCTCTGGGGCGTTGAACTGCCTGCCTGGGACAGGCTTTTCTGTGATGTTGCTGCCTTTGAGACACCCACGCTCTTCTAATAACCCCAAGAAACCCATTGGCTCCCTCAGCTAGAACTGAGCAATTTTTCTTCGGTCTGTTGTCAGTGCCTGGTCTACGGTGAATAGACATTTTCTCATGTCTCACCAGGAAATGGCATGCAGCAGCTTCTCCAAAGACTCAGACGCAGCATGGGGACCCACCCCGATGAGACACATGCATGAGGACCCACCCCTGATGAGGCAGATGGTTGTTTCCCTCCTTCTAACCAACATAAACATCATCTTTGGTCTCAAATTGGATTGAGAGTGAGCAGTAGAATTAGTACATTTACTACTGTAAGAATATAAAATTTAAACTAACAGATTTACAATTAACACTAAATCCAAAGGAAAAACTAGAGTATGATTCATGCCTCACATGACTTTTTCATTCTTTTTTTTTTCTTGCCAGCTTAAAGCATATAAGAAACAAAAAGGCAGTTAACTCTCTAAAACTCAATTGAAAAAAAAATTAAATCCTTTTAAGCCTTTTGCTTTTTTCACTAAAATGCAGCTTCCCAGGCCCCAAGTCAGAGCAGTCTGATGTCCTTTTCACCAGCCCATAAGTTGACTACCCTGTCAAACCACCCAAAAGCAGGGGCAGGAGCCCAGCCAGGGCATCCTGCTGTTTAAGCCTGTGTTCATTTCACACAGAAGGTGAGATCTACATTTGATGTCCAGTTGATACAAGCTCTGGTTGTCCCATCTCACCAGTGAATGGAGAGACAGAGGCCTCTCTCCAGTGGAGGAGGGGAAGAGCCAACTCACCTTGTGTGACTCACTGCGGCCCGTCCAGCTTCTTCACTCTGTCTCTTGGTCTCTATGAAGCCAGTTTGTAGTCATCTGGGTTCCAGATCCATGGTTTCTCTTTGGTCATAAACCCCAAACCTGCTGGAGTTCATGATACTGAGAACTATGTCTGGACATCCTTGATTCTGGAGGGCCCGGCACTTCCTCTGCCCGATCATCTGCAGCTAGAATCTGCCATCAGGTTCAGACAATGTATGCCAGGCACAGCATGAGAAAGACCAAAATGCCACATTAGCGTGTGTATGAGAAAGTGGTCCAGACTCTGCGTCATGTTATCTCTTCTCCCTCAGTCTATGCTCACAGCCTTGGCAGTCCTGACAGGCAGAGCCTGGGGTGGCATGACTTCCTTGTGACATGGGGGCATCAGTTGAAAGAAGACTGGAGAACGTTCCAACTCCAAGCTGCAGTGTCCTGGAAAGCCAGCTGGGAAGGGAAAAGGTCTCCCCAGACAATTTAAAACAACTGACTGCTATTTCCTGGACTGGAAAACAGCCAGAAGAATAAACATGTGCCTTCTATTTTCAAGCTGCTCCTTGATCAGGGACATTTGGGACTGTACATTTCTCTGCTGCTAGAAAACAGCAACACATAATCCAGAAGCAAAGCGATTGTCAATCAGAGAAGGCCCTAGAAGCCCATGATGGTAGTTTATAGAAGAAGCATGGCAGGTAGCTGAGCCTGAATCCGGGGTGCATCTGCCCAGGTAGGGAAACTGCTTTTCTTATGCATCCATCAGCTTCTGTTGCACTTCTGATCACCCCAGGCGACCAGTTTACAAAGAGAAGAGAGGTTTAGGCTGGCTGTAGTTCAGGGATAGGAGCACTTGCTAAGCATGCGTGAGGACCTAGGTTCAATCTCCAGCACTGTCAAATCAAGAAACATACAAATAAAAGAGAAGAGGTTATTTGGGCCGAGCTTTGGAGGCTTCAGTCTCTGATGGGTTTGGTTGAATTGCTCTGGAGTGTGGAGAGAGGTATCGTGGTGGGACTGTCTGGTCGGTACAGTTGGTCACCTCATGGTTGGAAATCAAGGTGAGAGGAAGAGATTGTAGCCCTCATCCTTTTCAAGGAATCTAACTTCTTCCCCAATTTCTTGTAGAGCAAGCTGTGGATGAAACCGTTAACATGAGGACTTCCGGGAGACATTACAGGTCCAAATTACTGCACCCTCCATTTTGGAAGGGGTGACCTGTAACCAGCTGGACACCACAGAGGCCTCAGCTGTGAGAAGGTAACACAAGCACAATGGTCATGGGCTGTAAGATGGCCTTGGAAAGGAGACATTTGTGTTGGCTTGTAACTCATAGCCATGCAACCATGGGCTCTTTCTATACAAGCCCACTGAGCAACAAGGATGGTTCGTGACATCACAGAACAGGCTGCCCATCCCCCTGAGTCTCAAATGCCTCTGCACACAGGGTTCATTCTGATGAACATAAACATGCCTCCAAATGTCTCAAGGTATCTGGGAGATGGATCCCCATACACTCCTGTACCTGCATCTGTCACTGTAAATCCTTGTCGTTAATACAGATGCAGCTGGCCTGATGAGTCTGGTTGCCTGTCTGCTGTGCAGTTATGGTTCCAGCAGGGAGACACTTGCCTGAAGGGTAAGGTTCTGTCCTGAAGGATGCAAGTTAGGGCTGGAATCAGTCACTGTTGTCCATAGGGCTGGAATCAGTGGGCACTTCCCATGACATGGACATGTCTGTCTGGGACAAGAGGAGGTGGCCTGGTGAGTAGCTCTCATGGCTGTTATGACTCATAATTGAGAGACTGTGCTTTCCTTTCCCATCTTAGGTCCCTTCTGGAATCTTCCAGCAGGAGGCTCTGGGATCTTACCAAGCCAGAAACTGAGACTCTCGGGGACTCTGCAAGCCACTGAGTCAACACAAATAAAATCATTCGTTACTCCATTGATTGGGGAACTGAATCTTTTATTAAAGAAAAGGTTTTTGTTTTGTTTTGTTTTACTAAATAGTGGGCCCAGGGGCATAATGTGTGGAAGCCAGGGCCCTCTTTTGGGAGGATTCAGTGAACTCTAGGCCCCCACATAAAAGTTAATAGCAAACTAGCATCCAACAATGGCCTTTGAAGACTCTCAGTCTTCAGGAATGAAAGTGTGGATTTCCATTCAGAAAATGCCCTACAAGAGCGAAGGAAACATGGAACAGTCACAGAGCAGGGAACTTAGGAATGATTTCCAGGATCCAAGGATCTGTAGAAGAGGCATATTTCCTTCCTTCCTCCCTCCCTCCCTCTCTCCCTCCCTCCCTCTCTCTCTCCCTGTGAGCGCGCATGCACGCACACATGCATTTGTCTACAAATCTATGGCTCCATCTCTGCCTGCTGAAAACTCAAGCCTACATAGACCAAATACAATGGAGTGGCTAGTCTCTGAACCCTGAAAGTGTAGCAACAACAGCTAACATTACTTAGTATTAGACCTGTTATGTCTAAGGATTTAAAGCCTGCAGGAGATGTGCAACGGCTCTCTGCAGACACTGTCACTTTATATGAAGGCTTTGAGCATCTGTGGCTTGTGATATTTGGGGGGTGCCGGGTCCAGTCTTTCTGACATGGGAACAACTGTACACTGTGCATACTGTGAGTGTGTGGCGGGACACACACAGAGGGCTTGCTTCACTTTCTGTCACCGTTGTCCTAGCAACGCTGTTTCCCTTACCAGCTGCAATTTGTTCCAGTTTGTTCCCTCCGTATAGAAGAATCTTTCAGAGATTGTCAACAACTTGTGCTCAGATATCAGAGCCTGGCTCTCTGAGCTGTGTCCTCTGGGCCTCTTAGGTCAGAGCCTCAGCTGAGCAGGGATCCCTCTCCCCTCTCCACAGGCCTGGGCCCCACTCAATAGAGCCCCCTCCTCTTTGCTTATGTGGTGTTAGAGATTGAACTCAGGGGCTTGCACATACTAGGCAAGCACTTTATCACTGAGCTACAGCTGTGAGATGAAGCTGCCTCCTCCCGGCAGTTCTCGGTGATCCCCACTCCCTGTTTGTGTTTTTGGTCTCCCCATACTAGCTTGTCTAGTTCTCCATATTAAACTCTCTCTTTAAAAACAATGGAGACATCCTTTTCTTTAACGGTTTATTTTTATTTATCTGTGTGTATGTGGGGGAGCAGGGAGAGGTGTGGTGTGCACAGATGTGGCAGCCAGGAGAGGGCATCCAATCCTCTGCCTTTGGAGTTACAGGCAATCACGAGGTACCCAACACAGGTACTGGGAACTGAACTAGATCCTTTGGAAGAGCACTCTTAACCACTGAGCCATCTCTCTAGCTCCCTGAGGCATCTTTCATTTTCCAAATGATATATGTATGTCATGGTTTCATGGCATGCTTAAGAACTTTGTCAGTCGTGTGTGTGTGTGTGTGTGTGTGTGTGTGTGTGTGTGTGTGTGTGTGTGTGTGTGTGTTACAGAATAGAAATCCACAGCCAGGATTGGATAGCTAGTGCTTTGCCCTCATCCTGTGGTTTTTAAAGCACCTTTCTAAACTTCAAATGAAAAGTCAGCCTTCTGGTGTGGGACTTTCTGCCAGCCTGACGAACTGAGAAGAATCTTCCATCTCCTAGCGAGATCCAAGGTCTCCTGTGGGAGACCACCAGAGCCAGACACAAGGGGACCTTATTGGCCTCAACTGGACCCCTCGGGTATATAGGCTTTTGTCCCAAGAACCCCACAGGCCAGCCTAGATCTTTCTAATTCTCTCCCATTTGTGCTAATTCCTGGCTCCTGGAACTCAGATGAGGATTTGTGTGCCAGCTTCCTTGGACTGGGGATTTCCGCCAGGCAGGAGCCTGGCTCCTGTGGACTGGCCTCCCACAGAGAGCCCTAAGAACACACACCTTATACCAGGCAAATCTGGGCTCAGATCCTGACTCTACAACTCACTGTGCTAAATTCTACTGTTCTTATCTACAAGATGAGGCTTTTGATTTCTTCTCACAGGCTGTTGTATCTACCGGATTCCACCATGAGCAAAATGTGCCCTGCCCTGCAGGAGGCAGGTCAGCATACCTGTCATCGCTGTCCCAGTGCCAAGTGTGGGGCACAGCATACAGTGGGCACCAGACGCACGGCTGTGTCTGAGTCTTGGCACAGTATTGTGCCTGAGAGAGACCCAGGATTCTGGACTTGTAGCTGGAGTGCTTCTCTCTGGGTCCCGCCAAGCCTCCGCAGTCCCATAGCCCACTTATAAAATAAACACACAGACTCTTATATTATTTAAACTGTTTGGCCTAATGGCTCAGGCTTCTAGCTATCTAGTTTTTACATCTTAAATTAACCCAGTTTTATAAACCTATATCTTGCCACATGGCTTGTGACTTACCAGTATCTTACATGTTGGTACTCATGGCGGCAGCTGGCAGCGTCTCCTGACTCAGCCTTCCTGTTCCAGAATTCTCTTCTTTGCTTGTTCTGCCTATTCTTCCTGTCTGGCTACTGGCCAATCAGCATTTTATTTATACAGAGCGATATCCACAACATGAACTCTTCCCAAGGAGGAAGGACATTTCCGTAGTTCTCCATCGTTTCAGGAAATCAGGAAAGCATAAATCAAATGCTGCCACATGGGCAGCTATATCTTCTTGCTACTGTCATAACCCCTGGTGATTACAAGCCAAAGGCCTCTTCAGTTTTCATTCATGGAGGAAGTCTCCTGAGCATTAGCAAAAGCAAATCCTGGGATCACCAGGTTCACACTCCATCCAAAGGGAAAAACACTTTCCCCTCTAAACAGGTGTGCACACATGTCCACTTCAACCCTTCTCCTCTTAGGCCATAGAGACTTTTAAATGTAATCTATTATTATTGTTGTTATTATTTTATTATTATTATTATTATTAATATGTGTGCATGCACTGGCATGCACATAAAGCTCAGAGGACAACTTTTTGGAGTTGGTTCTCACCTACCTTTGAAGCCATCTCACTGGCTTCATATTGATTTCCTCTGATAGCATCTTATCGAGAACATAGGAACGGGTGGGCAAATGACGGGATGAACTCATGCTTTACAAACATGTTAATTTTATTGAGTAGGCATCAAAGCTCCTCTGTATCAAGTAATGGAGAAGCCATGTCACACGGGTTACAGAGCTATTTTTACTTGAAATAATCTTTCATAAAAGAAAGAAATTAAATACTGTTCTATAAAAAGTGCAGTAGTCATTACTGGAAGTTTTCCAAAATGAAAGCAAGATTTACTACATATTGCAAAAATTGGTTGAGTGCTTTAATTCTTCACGAAGGAACGACCTGGTCACCTTAGACAGCTCTTACAGTGGGTTTCTTCACCAACAATGGACCAGATGGAAGAGAAGACTTGTATGGAATTAGCACGAACACTCACATGTGGGTAGAAAGGATTTTGAACAACTTGGTCAGAACATGATGATCTGTGACGCATTTTTGCCTCAGCGTTTTCATTTGTCCACAATAATGAAATAAATACAAAGCAAAGCATCTCCAAACCAGTCAAATGAACCAGAGTGAAGGAGAGAGGAGAGAGAGAGAGAGAGAGAGAGAGAGAGAGAGAGAGAGAGAGAGAGAGAGAGAATTCATGGTTTTGTGAGGTTAAATGCCCATTTAAAGAAACTAGGCAAGCACAGGCTGAGGGAGTCATTTGTTCTAATCAGCTCCCACGCTCCCAGTTACAAGGAGGCTGGTTTGTCAAAAATGAAGGTGAATGGAGTGCAGGCTCTGTAGGTGAGGCAGTGATGGGTCACCAAGCTCAGGCCCTGCTGGGACTCAGTTGAGCCTGCTTTCTGCTCCTAAGTGTTCCTTCATTTGTGTCACTGAAGGCCCAGTGTCTGCCGCCTGGGGTTGTGGCAGAGCTGAGCTCCTCAGACTGGATACAGCCTCTGTTGTAGGCAGGTCGGTCTCTGTGCACTAGGCTCTTAGACACGGCTGGTCTGTATTGTACGCCCGCACCTGCGCAATGGTTTGGGTCACGGGTGAGTGCTGACCCCACTCTCTCTGCCAAAGTCATAATTCAAACACCGATGTGCTCACACCGAAGCTGAGAGCCGGGCTGCTTCTGGGAACTTACCATGGAGAGCAGTGCCCCCTGGGAAGTTATTCCCCCTCCCCCACCCCGAGTCCTGGCAGGAGCAGGGGCCCAAGCTGTCTGGGCAGCAATGAAAGGTATATCACATATTTGGCAATTCAAGTATGGGGACACACATGCAAGTGTCCATTTGCACAGCTGGACAGATGCAGAGGGGATTTGTGAGGGATATCATACCCGAGAGGAACCCTGTCATATGAAAGCAAGAACCACAAAGAGGATTAAAGAGGACACAGCCTTTTCTCTAGGCCACACGAGGACAAAGGTCCAGTGAGCAGCTTGTAACAGTATTTTTGCCAGTGATTCTTAGAGGAAAATGAATTTGGCCAAAGGACCAGGAAGTAAACAGTGTGGTTAGGTAGCTGTGAGAATACCTGGCAGAGGGAGCAGGCTCGGGGGTGGCATCCCTTAGGTGGGTGAAGTTGCCTGTCAAGCGCAGGGTGTCCTGGGCACATGGAGGTGTGTGTGGCTTTCTGTCCTTCTAGTGCACAGCAGTGTCATTGAATCCCAGTCTTGTCACCCACCACTGCCCCAGCTCATCAGAGTGATCAGTTCCTGTCCTTCCACTGTCCTGCATTTTGGTGACTATAGAATGGATCCTTCATCTGGACTGGGCCACCTGTGCCACTGTGCCTAGACAGGAAGGACAGATGGATACCCAGGAATTGACTAGAAAGGCTTCTTTGAAATGGTTGGGATGTCTAACGATGTTATAGTCAGTATGAGGGGGCTCCCCAGAGTGCATCTCACGCTATGAGCTACACAACATGGACCATTTTTACCTCTACTTGACCCAAAGTGCCCCCTGCAAACAGCAGAGGCCCACTACGAGGAAGGGCTTGGCTGCAGGGCCCACTCTTAGACT